AAGGGGAAAGTGCTTTATCTGAAGCACCATTGCTTGTTTGACAGTTCTGTCAAGATCCTTATAGATCTTGAGGTACAAATTCTAGCTAGCACTAGTGTGTGGTGCCAACCTAACTTGCTTACTGGAGAAAAGTAGCTTAGAGCCTCCCAAAGTATCCAGTATTAACATGGGAAAAATAAAGGTTTAACTAAGTTTAATGGCAGCTGTCTTGCTAGAAAGTCTAGCTTTTAGGAAGTCGGTATTTCAAAGCAAGGTTTTTCATTCGGGAGGTTAGGAAAGAGCATGTTCTATTTCAGCAACTTCTCTTATCAGAATAAAGGGAGTATACAACGTTTAATGGAATAGGGTAACGTGATCTATTTTTGAAGCTAGAACACAGCAACAGGATCCAAGTCCAGAAGCCTCCCTCTCTGGGGCTCTCTGGGCAGTCAGTTTCTGTGTTTGACTGCCCTGATGGTGAAAATTTTCTTTCCTGTGGCCTATTGGAATTTCCTTTACTGTAACGTATCTGTTGCCTCTCATCCTTTTCCTGCATGCCTCTGAGAAGAGCCTGCCTCTGTCCTTTCTAGAACTGCCCTTTAGGTAGCTGAGGGTAGCAGTTAAATTACCTCCATAACCTTCTCTTCTCCAGGCTGAACAACCCCAGCTCCCTCAGCTGCTTCTCATACATCATGTACTCTGCATGCCAGCTCTCTTGGTGTTCTTCCATTGGAATTGCTCCGGTACTCAATGATGCAGTCTTCCAGAGCATCCAAGCTAGGATGTTATGGTCTAGGGAGGTGAGAATCCTGGCTGGATCATTGAGCTCAGAGGGTAGTGTTTAATGGTTCATGCTTTTACCTCAGGGCTGATTACAAGTGGAGTTCCTCAGGTGTCTATTCTGGGACCCATTCTGTTTAGTGTCTTTATCTGTGACCTGGAGGAGGAGATGGAAGGTGCCTTCACCCAATTTGCAGCTGACATCAACCAGGGTGGCATGGAGTGAATATGCTCAAGGGCAGGCCCATTCAGGGCAACGTAAACAGGCTGGAGAAATGCATCTGTGGAATCTCATGAAATTCAACAAGGATAAAAAGCAAAGCCCTAAATCTGGGAAGGGGTAGCCCCCTGCAGGGGTACAGGATGAAAAGGACCTGGGGGTCCTGGTGGGCTAACTCTGAGCCAGCCTAGTATACTGTGTTAACAGGACTGTAGTCAGTAGATTCAAGGAAGTGATTATTTGCCTTTAGTCTGCACTTACTAGAGCACATCTGGAGTAGTGCACTCATTTTTAGACTCCCCAGTATAGGGAAATTGTTGATAAACTGGAGTGAGTTCATCAGAGGCTGCCAAGACGGCCAAGGGACTGGAGCACTTGCCCTATGACTGGGCCTGTTTAGCCCAGAGAAGACAAGCCAGCCTTCCAGTACCTACGAGGAGGTTACTGAGAATGTGGAGCCAGACTATTTATTGAGGTGCACAGAGAAAAGGGTCATAAATTAAAAGGGGAGGTTCCGACTTGATGTAAGGAAGTAATAATTCACTATTAGGATAACTGAACACTGAAAAAGGTTGCCCAGAGAGCTTGTGTAGTCTCCAACACTGGAGGCTTCCAAGAACCAACTGGATGCAAGTCCTGAGCAACCTGGTTTGAACTGGGTGTTGACCCTGCTGTGAGCAGGAGGCTTGAGTCAGGAGAGACCTCCTGAGGGCCCTTCCAGCCTGAGTGATTTTGTGCTAGGGATTGGCCAAGATCTCTTCCTATCAAGAGGTCCTAGTAGTATGCCTGTTGCTACTATTTAATATACAAATTAAGGAAATGCTTATAATTATTGCTATATAGTCATATGTTTATATGTAATATATACCGTATTTTTATAATTATTCACTTCTGAATAATGGTAGTGGAGATTCTTGGTAGTCTGGTGTCCAAAGAAAATTTCAGTGCGATTCATTTGCTCGCCTGTGTTAGTGTTAGATACTCTTTGCCTGTAACTTGATGCTTTTTACAGTTGCACAAAGTCAAAAATACAGATATATTGAACTGGCTATGGAGAAAGAGCTCCTTGAACTGTTTTTTGGTCAGGAAGCTTCTGCAGTTGTAATTCTAGAATGATAAAACTCCAACTCCTTTGACTACAAAGTCAAAAATGCGCTGGTCTCATGATGCAAGATGCTGAACTGATTCACTTAACTAATTCCAGTTTGTTCAAAAATTTGTAAGAGGATTTTCTTAGTGGGAAAACTTTGTCCAGTTGGATGTTATTTTCAGTAAGTTAGCCTTTGTCTGTACAAGTCTAACTTTATGCCAACTGAAATGTCATCTTCCTACAGCTGGCATAAAGCAGGTGTAAGGACTGTATTGTGCTTTTTAATTTGACGTAAATTTACTCATTTGCCTGTCTCTGGTCCAGTTTGAATCACCAAGTGATCTGGCATTTTGTGCCTTTGGTGTTTACATTGACCAGTGGCTCAAGTCTTTCCTCTCTATACTTAAATGATTTCACAGTGATCCTAAAATAAACAAAAAAAACAAACCCACAAACTCTTAAAACCTTGATTTTGCCTTTCTGAGGTTTACAATCACCTGATTCTGCACGGATTGGCCAAGAGAGGGTGCTCAAAATCCATTCTTTACCACTAGATTGAAAACATTGCATGGCTTGCAAGTTGTGCTCAATATGTTAGCAGGGACAGGGAATTTAAATGCTAAGGAGTTTGCAAAATTAAATTAAAAAAAATTAAAAAGCAAGAGTGTTGTCAACGTTTCAAATCTCCAGCGGGGAGAAAAATTATAGGAGTGTGCAGATGCAAGAATACAGAAATATGCACTACCTTTCAGTTACACACAGTTAGGATATAAGATTGTGTGGTTAATTCTGTTTTCTTCTATAACTCTTAATTTTTATAGTTTGTAATGATGGCGTGTGATGGCAGGACAGTGCAGGCATTTACTAAATTTTGAAACCAGTTTTAAAATACTATCTTAAGCTTTTCAAATTGTTAATTGTAATTGCAATCTTGAAGAAGCTGAGTACCTGCAGTAGGGTGGCAGTAGTCAAAACACTTTAGTCAAGAGCTAAAAATACATGCTAGGTATTTAGTCTAATCTTACGATTGGAGAAGCAAGCTATGAAAGTTAGCTCCTACCAAATACAGTCTTTTGGGCCTCAGGTGTTGAAAGCAGACATGTTTTGGTTTTTTTGCAAATTCCATATGACTAGTAATTACAGATGTCCTCAGGGTGCAGAGTATTTCTGGGAACCGTGTTTCATTAAGGTGACATTGTATATTGTCAAAAATTCATAGATGGATTTTAAAATTAAACTACATATCTGTGCTCTATATGATATAAAATCAGTTAGGCTTCAAATTACTGTTTGGACAGTTGGTGTTTGTTTAATGCTTGAAAGTTACATAGATAAAACATTTTTCTTGCTGCATCTTGCATTGCTTTTCTTCAGTTGAAAAACAAATCTCAAAAGATAACCATTTCTTTGTGAAATTTTCTTTATAGATTCAGAGTGCATAGAGAAAAATACATTTTTGGTTTTTCCCCAGATCATTCCCTGCCTCCCCTGTTCTCACCGGCTTCCTTACTTCAAAAGTAACTGGTCAACATCAAGTTGTGCTCCAATTTCTGCATCACCTTACAAGGAGATCCAAGAGAGATATCTTTATCTTCATTGATAATCATGCATGATTTCTTATTTCAGATCTAAAGCTGTCTTTTTCCTTGTAACTTTGTCTCAAATTAAAAAATAATTGTAGGAGAATTCCTACAATAACTTTGTGTGTTTGTAATTTTCAGGTTCCAACATCAGAATTCTTGAAGATCAATTTGATGAACTAATAGTAGAGACAACAACAAAGCGTAAGCAGTGGCCTAAAAAGATACTGATGCATGCAATACAAACCATGAAGGCGGAGCAAGAGATGTTGGTGAGTAACCTAAGATTTTCAGAAAACATTTGCATATAGTAGCTGCTGACCACATGTAACTTGAAGAAATAAATCATCAAATGTTGACCTTTAAGCTCTTTCCCATAATTGCTTTTGATTCTTTGTCATATTATGAAATTGTTTCTTTCTATTAATTTGTTCTTCGGTAAAATGAGGGTTACTACGAAGTGGTATGACTGTGAATGAATTGGGCCTGTCGCACACTTCAGCAAGTTACTTAAGCAGATCGCTTCAACATGATGACTCATGATTTACAAGCCAGTATACACCTATTTATATTGTCAAATCCAGGTTTCTGAAATCTTTGGCTGAAGGCTGGTTGAAGTATTAAATGTTATGATACATACAGATACTATCATGTGCAGTGTATGACTTTTAAAAATATGTCTGTGTTTTCCTAAGCACTTTTGTTGACCTAATGACTACATTGAGTAAGTACTTTCAGTAAAGAAAGGAAAAAAAAAAAAAGGTAATGTGGATTAATGAATAGGTGCCGTAATTTCTCTGTTTTTTTTGACACTGAGTGTAAAATAATTACTGGCATTAAACAACCCGGTCATGTCTGTGGTTGCTAACTTTCTTTCCTGCAGTTACGTTAGGCCTGCCTTTTGCTTACCTGGTGATTAATTAGGAGTCAATTTTCTATGTCAAAAAAAAAGGACAAGAGGTAATAGGCACAAATGGAAATGCAGGAAATTCCATTTAACCATTTAAAAGTAAAAATAAAAAAGGACTGTGAGGGTAGTCAAACACTAGCACGGGCTGCCCAGCGAGACTGTGGAGCCTCCATCCTTGGAGATATTCAAAACCTGAGTGGATGAGGCCCGGAGCAACCTACTCTAGTTGGCCCTGCTTTCAGTAGGGGGTGAGACTAGACCATCCTTAGAGGCCCTTTCCAACCTCAGCTATTCTATGATTCTATACTAAAGAAGACAGGGATTTTTTTTAGGAAGTTAAGAGCCTGCATTCCACTTCTGAGGATTAAAATTGACAAAAGTAACTCTCTAGGTTAGCCGGGCATACATGATTTACAGTAAGTAAAAGTGCATGGGTATATATTTGTCTTAAATCTGAGATCTTTTCTAACATATATTGCCTTCTGTGATCTCTGTGTTTTGTCAATATATCAAGTATGGAAAACAAACAAAAAAAATCAACTAAAATAAAATGCTATTGCATAACACCAACATTTAACAAGATCTTGTAATCTTTCTGCAAAAGGAAAACTATGTTCTACCTGAGTCCCAAAATGGATTAGTTATTTAGAATGCCTCTCACGCTACCTTTTTTCTGTTGCTGACCTCTTCAAATTTTACACCACCACAACTTGATGATTATTTTAATTAAAAGTGTCTGCAAAATATAGGAAGTTTTTAGTTTATCTCTGTAAATGAAGTGGCTTTTTTTTTCCCCTCAGCTACTGCTGTGAAGGTACTAGTGGTTTCTCTGCTTTTGGTTGCTTTTATGTTCTTTTTTGACCCTAGCTACTCCTGTGATGCATGTTTTCTGAGGCATAAAAAGTAGCTATGAAAATGCGGTAATTAACTGCAGTTTATCTGGAGAGAACCACTCATTTAGTGTGGTGATCTCCCTATAGTTGCCAAAGCAAGAGATCATTCTGTAGGTTTTCAGTCAATATGTTTTGTTACGTTTGAGGATAATGCAAGCAATGTTTGTTCTTCTGCTTGGAGCTGTTACTGTAAATTTGCTAAGAAGATGTGTGAACTGTGAAAAAAATTGCTCTAGTAAAACTACAGGGAGGAATAATTAACTTTCCTCCTACTTGCTTTTGGTTGAAGAAGGCTGTGGGACAGCTCCTGAAGTGAAGAAAAATACTAACTTGCAGATGATACAACTTACGTTCCTGTGTCTTTGCTTTGTTTCCTTTTTCCCTGGTAGTTACTTCTAATTCCACCTTTCATATAACTAAATATTAGTTGTATTCATTATTTGTTATTAGTTAACTTCATGTCACAATTAACTGATGTCAAGTCACAAGACTCACAGTAGGACCAAAGCGCCAGAGAGCCTGGTCTGTGAAGGAGAGTGTTCTTATTCATGCAGAAGTAATTGCAGGGCTAGAATGTAGTCATTTAAATAGTTTTCTTTTTCTTAGCTTTTTGTCTTAATGTACCCCTTGTTTGAGTTTGCTCCTCTGTGAAAGCGTACTGGTTTTGTGAATGGCTCCTTAGAAGCCAGAGCAGCTCTTTTTCCTCAGTTGTGCAGCAGGTGGCAATGCTTCTTCCAAAATGTCTGGATTTCAGTTTAGTTCTCATGCTTTAATAATTAGAATTCTGCAAACTAAAGCAGATTTTGGAGATGTGTTTGCAGTGAACTTAACGGTGTTAACCAGAACACTGTTGCCAGTGACTGAGTATCTATAAATTGTACCTCTAATACATTCTGTAAGTAATTCCACCAGCATCTCCTTGTATTAGCCTTTCTCCATTGTTCCGACTGCTATGTGTATATTAGATAGCTATTAAATCAAGAGGGTATTTCAGAATTTTTGTTTTTTTGAATATGCAGAAGCTCTACCAGCCTTTTGTAACACCAGAAGAGATAAGATCCCAGCCTTCTCAAGGTAAAGATTGCGCGGGGAGGGCAACTGTACTGAGGAAATACTGCCTACCTTACTGGCTAGCTGTAAATGTTTAAGAAGCTTTCTTTAAACTTGTTTAAAATTATTGACTGTTTAAATAATCGACTAAAATAGCTAGAAGTTTGTCATAACTGCATGTATTGCTGCATCAGTTTGTTGTACCCATTTCTCTTCTTCTAAGTGCTGTCTGCTGTTAGGCACTGTACTTAAAGGCAAAAGCTGGCCGCTGTGTGGGTATTGGGTAGAAATTGTCGCAGAGCTACCCTCAGTAGGTTTTCTTACTTCTTTCCTTCACCACTGATGGAGGCTAGATGGGGAACTAGATGGATCGCTGACATTATACTTTGACCGTTCTTGTGTTCCTTCTACATGAATACTAGAAATGCTTCAGTCAGTTTCTTCAGGGAATTGAAAGCAGTTGTGTAGTACTCAGTGATGGCAGTGTTGACTCTCCTGACTTGCAAAGTAGGCATCAAATTTTATCCTGCCTGTGTCATTTGTAAGGGTTGATGAAGAAACAAAACCGCAAACAATGTCATAAGTTTGCTTACATGCTTTTGAAAGATTCCTTATAGAAACTCCTTGGAACAAGGTGGTGTATTTTGCAATTGGTGATTGGGATGTGCCTTTCTGAGGCTGGCCTTAAGAAATTGAAATTCGTGTCTTGCCTGTTCTTAAGTATTGAAAAATGACAGAATTTACCAATGCTGTTCTGAGTTGAAAAGCATGGTTACAGAACCCTCACTATGGATTACTGCACATGATGTAAAGCTGGTGTAACAAGCAGTGGTGTTAAAGTTTGAGAAGCTGAGCTTAATCTTCCAGTTCTCACCCTACTGATCTGACTTCACTCTAGGCATCATTTCCTCTTTGTAAACAGGAGACATTGCTTCCAGAAATGCCAGCCTGTGCAGCAAAGCAGCTAACAGGAGCAGTAAAGAGCATCACTTCATATCTGGGTTTCTTTTGGTTTCTAGTGTCCAGATCTATGCTTTCCTGATACCTACTTTTTGGAAGTAGTAACAGCTTGCACTATGGTATTGCCTTTTTAGGTTTGGTAACAGCAAAGTCCTAGCCAAGGTAGCATAGAGTTTGTGCTGAATTTTAGTATTATGTAGTCTTTGGGAAGTTTATGTATCCCAGTTTAGCAAGTACAGTGGCCAGAAACCAAAAATGTTTAGATTACTCAATACCTTTCGTTTCCTTTTTTCATTTCCCTATGTTTTGGAAAGCCTTGAACACTGAGGAATGTAATGCTGTCCATGTCAAGCTGAACTCCTGCAGGCAAATTTCATTTAACTGTATGTCAGTCCTTCTGTATAACTGGAACAATCCAAGTAACTATTTTTACTTTTACTTAACTCCTTCCTTGCCATTCCATAGGGTCACCAGTCTTCTAATCCCAATACTCTACTGTAAGAATGCTTCATTATGGACATATCCTTTTTTTAGAGAATGTCCATTCATAGGCCTCTGTGGTGTGTTTAAAGAGGCTGCTGTTGGACTGTTTTTCCTTCCAGACTCTGAATGATGTGCATTTTAGCATCCATGTTTATACATGGATTATGCGTTCCTAAACCACGTCTGATCAGCACATTGGGCATGCAGACGGATAATTTAACAAAACACTGTCCCTTGCTGCTTACTACATTTCAGCAGGGGATCACTGTCACCCTGCGCTAGAATACAGTGATGGACTTAAATTATTTTCAGTAGCACTAGTGAGATTGACTTCAAAGCAGAATGCTGTGGTTAACCTTGAAAGGGTTTAGGGGTGTGTGCACCATCTAGCATTGTATCCTACTGCAGGCACTGGTGAAACCCTACAGAAAAATAAGAGTAGTGGAGGTGAGGCTGCTTAGTTCCCAGGAGCATGCTTACTTATCTGCTGATTTTAAGTTTTTGTTGATGGCATAGCATCGCAGACAGAATGATGGCGGAGAACATGCAAAACAGTTTTATAATAACTTAGAGTTTAACTCCTGAGTAAAGAATTATTACTGCTTGTAAATCAATCGTCAGAAACATATATTGTGTTGATGATCTTACCATACTGCTACTGCAATCAAATATATGCCATTTTCCCCCAGTATTCTGCACCTGCTGCCTGCTTCAGTTTTCTTTTTTTATTAACCCAGCAGAATTAATGCAGTTCATGTTGTTTGTGCTTGGTTCTCTTTTATTCTTGGTGCTAATGCTTAGTAAGTTAAGCAAGGAGAAAAATGTAGCCTTTATTGTAAAAGCTGACTTGTTGGAGCTGTAAGGTTATTTTTTACCCCTCCTTAAAATGGGTTTCCTTCATCTCATTTTCTCCACAGTTGTGTTTATTCTCCTTCTTTCATGCATTTTTGTCAAACGTAATATGAGCTTGAAAGGTTTGAAAACAGATCTTTTTTCTTTATAACTATTCTCTTCCTTCATGTCAAATACTGTCTTTGTGTCTCATGTTTTGTATAAGCTCTAGGTTTTCTAGTGAAGAACTTTGTAGTTCTTTGGCTTACTATAGTTGAGACTGCTAGACACTACTGCATTTTCAGTGATAAAGAGTAACAATAGTAAGATAAAACATACAAGCTGTTGTGCTCAATGCTATAATGAAAGGGATGTGTTGTAGGTTTTAAGTTTTGTACAGGGACTCTACCGCTTTTCTGTCTGATTTCTAAAAAGTCGATAGCAAGTATTGGGGGGAGAGAGTTACGTTTCAGAAGTTTATTTGGGCTTTATGTTTTTCTGTAGATGCTTACATCGCAGATCTGACGCAGGTGGCAGAAATGGCATCCAAACAGATCAGTGGGGCAATGAAGGTGAGATCTCTGGGTGCTCCAAAAGGATTTTTTTTTTTTCTTGATCTGATAGTATGTCATGAAACAGGAGTTCTGACTCGTCCTGGTTATAGTTTTGTAACAAAAACAAAAAAGCCTGCGTGTGTACTTTGAAGCAAGTACATCTTTAGGTTTGGACTGCTGAAGTTCTATCTGTAAAGCATTCCCCCTCACATGGTAGTAAGGAAGATTACCCCGTGGTTATAGGAAATATTTTTTACAGAGATTTTAGAACCTGCAGCATCTGAAAAATAAAACATCTTTTGAAGGCCTGTACAACTTCATACAGCACGTGACATTTATTACTTCAGTACCAGCTTAGACATGAACTGTGGTGTTCCTGTGATGCTCATTCAGCTTAGAGACGTAACGAAGGAACATTGAAACTTGATATACTCTTTGCATGGCTTCTGAGTGCAGACCCTTGTCACTGTTAGGCTGGTAGCTCTGAGTTCCCAACCTTCACCTGCCATCCTGAGGATCATCTCTGCAGACACTGAAGCTTTTGTGCCTGTCAGAATCTATTAACATATTTCATTCATTATAACCATTATTTTTCCCGTGTAACTTGAGATACTTGGGTTTGTTTTTGCAGTCTCTCCCAGCGCTAATAGAAAGAGCAGAAGGTTTTTCCCAAGCGTTAACTTGGCAACCAACCTTGGAACTCTGCAAGCTGCGGCAAGAAGTCTTTGCTGGTTGCAAGGCGAAGGAGGAAAATAATGTCCAAAATTTCGTATCACCAGGAGAAGTCACACCAACAGACACTGATAGCAGTAAAAATCCTTACGTTTTGCTAAAAAGAAAAAAAGCTGTAGATTCACCAGAAAGAAGACGCTACCCACTTCGACGGAGGAGGATTACTCTCAGCACATGAATTTCTCATTTGGTATTTTCAGATTGGAATCTCAGTTATACTCTTGTTCAGTGTGCTCAGTCTTTCCTCTTAAAACTTTGTCTCCCCTCTAATTCAGTGCTATGTGTGGGAGCTTCCTTAATTATTTAGTCTTTGATCCTTTTAAATATTTCTATTTTTACTGTCACACTGATGGTATATGAAAGCCTACGCACACGTAGCATCCGATATCCAGCAAGTATATTTGCCGATTAACTCTCATTTTTTGCTCTTTTATTACAGCATTTAGCTTGAGTCCTCATGCTTCTCAAAGTTTGTGCACATGCTTTATGTATGCGGGCAGTCTTTTAGTAAACCGCTGAGTGCTCATTTATATTAAGCATGGCTCTAAAGAGGTTGGAGAATGTCTAGTTCTCCTCATTTATTACTGAGTCGGGTGGCTATTTTTTAATAAATAAATTAAAAAGAAATTCACACTGGAGCATATTGAAAACAACAGATTTGATACGATGTTACAGTTTTTAGAAAATCCACACACAAATGTGACATTGGTCCCTGCTGTTCCACCTTTCCTGAATTTAGGTCAGCTGGGCTTATTTGTAGTCATGTTTGTTTAAACTTGGATTTTTAGTAATTGCATGTATTTACTTGCAGCGTGCTCTTCTGAACAAGGATTCGACCATCCACATCTTACCATCTGATATTTCGTTTCATGTAATCCAATTATGCAGTCTGGGGGTTTCCTGGGCAGTATTTCTACACATTACAGGATCTTGACTTGGGTCATGTGTGCATTTGTGATGTTTGACTAAACTTTAAAGATCAGTATAGGCTACCAGTAAATGGTATTAAGTTGAGCTACCTTACTTTTTTATTCTTCTTTACGCATTAGTACCTAGGCGATTGCACAGTAGTACTAAATTGAGCATTATGCCTTAACCATTCATAACTTTTTCAGGTTTATGGTTGCATGTGCGTGCAGGAAATACTCATGTCTAATATGTAACGTATTTCTCACACAGTAAAGGCAGGGTTTTTTTAGAAGCTTTATTAATGAAATGTACTGGGTTAAGAAGATAGGTGCAACTTAACGTCTAAGAGACTGAACATTTTCAAGAACAGGTGACAGATTTTAGCATCATTTATTTTGTAAAGGTGAGCATCTGTACTGAGACTTTGTATATTTAATCATATGTAAATATTTGTTTCCCATCGCTCTTGTATATACAAATGTGTGTTTTTATACAAAGTAAATTAAATCAATTAAGGAAGATCAAAGTTGCAGATAATGTTGTCAGTTCTAATCCTGGAATAGATGGTGACTGAACAGTGAGTGTGCTTTGGAAGACATCTGTGTTAAATTTTGGCTCGAGTAACTGAAGTAGTTCCATTTACCGCCTTTGAACTCACAACTGTTATTAATCTCAGGGCTACAAAGCGTCTAATGTAAGAGAAGACAGGATGTGAGAGGGACTGGAGCTGCGAAGCTGTGGAACGTGTGGCTGGGACGGTTTTTCACACAGTGACTTGCTATTCTGGCTGCTTTGAGTACGCGTGCTCCGTGCTGCATTGAAAATCCCCACCATGGCTTTCTTCACCAAGATCCACAGATACTCTTTAATCTGAGTGTTCCTAGACTAAGAGGAGCCTTGCAAGATTTTGCATGGCTACCATTATAGTATTTGAACGTTTGCTATGTTAATAGGAAGATTCCCTGCTATTCTCTGCAAATAATGATAGGCAAGTACAGAAAATAGCTAGGAATAGGCATGTCTCTCTGAAGAGGTCCCATCAAAAATGGCCAAGGTAGGACAAATGCCTTAAGAAATAAGGAGGGAGAGCACTGTGGATTAAGACTTAATAAGCAAATTAATGAATTCACCCTACAGTGCGTGTCAGTGTTAAGAGATTCTATGATAGTTGGCCTGGACAGGATTTGAAAGAAGTGGGAATGGATGCCCTGAGCTAGGGCAGTCGGCCCTTGTTTTAGCCGTGGCTGAGTGGAAAAAGAAAACAAATGCATCTGGAAACGCTGGCCAAATAGTGTGAAGAAGGATAAAGAAAACAATCAAGATTCCAAGTGCAGCATATAAACTATGAATTTACAAATCTCTGATGGCTACTTTCAGCCAAGCAGCAACGGAAGGTGTCAGAGGACCTCCCTTTAAATGCAAGGTCTGTGATAAGCTAAACTCAACACTTGAATGTTCAGCTGTTTTTCAAATGATTGTTAAAAATTGCTGCAGCAAGTGATATCTGCAACTAGCCATGCCTGGGATCTGTTCTTCCCACTGGCAGAAATATATAAAATACTTCATTTTTTCCCATTCCAGTAGCCTTTTGTCCTTCAGTTAACTTTTCATAGAAATCAGCAGTGTTGTGCAAGACAAGTGTCTAATCAGGCTTCTACTGAAATGTCACAACATCCAAACTACTTATTTTTAACTTGGGGCGAATTGGTATTGCATCAAGAAATGTCTGGTAGTTTTTCTTTATATAGCCTTTGAATTTTGTAAGACAGCTCAATGGTGATGGATGCCTGGGAACATTTGCAAAACCAGTTTGAATTTCTTGGCTTTTTGGGGTGAGATGGAACATCTCTCTGTTTGTTAGCGTGTACTGTCAGCGATGTGCTTTTTGCTCATGAGGGTGGGCCATCCCTACCCAAGAAAGACTTGCAAATTGGAGCAGTATCCACGCATGCTTTTGCTGTGTGTAGTTTCTGAACAAAGGAGGTTACAAACAGTGTGCAGGGAAGCTCCTCCTCAGAAATCTTCACGTAGACATCGACGTCTGTTTGGAAGCTTGGGCACGCTGGTGCTCTGAAATCCAGTTCTGATACGTGCCGTTCTTCAGAAGAGCCGCGCTGTGCTGAGCTGTGTTCAGCGACTCTAGCCTCCATGTGTGTAGGCTGCTTCAGCGCAGAAAAAAATCACTGATAAATTGCCATTATAAAATGTAAACTCGGATGACTAGACTGCTTTCTGGGCTTGTTTTCTCTCCTGCATAGAAACGCTCTGCCTTTACTGCTGCGTTACCTGGAATTACTGTGTAGGCATTTCTACAGATGTACCAGAGATAGCTTTAATACCAAGCAGAAACTTGTTCCCCCAAGCAAATTTTGACTTTTCATTTCCTTTGCCACTTTGAACAAGAGCAGACTGTGTTCAGGCTCAAGGGGACTGTCCCGTGACTTGTCCCATACTTGTGGGATCCTGGAAACCTTCTCTACAGCTGCCGGGAGTTATTCAATGAAATAGATACTTCGTACTAATAAATTCTTGGTAAACTACTCAGGATTTGATGCTGTTAGATCACCTGCTTGTGCCGTTGCCATTAAAGGCAGCATCGCTCCTGGAACAGCACGAGAGCTTTGTGTGGGGTCAGCTCAAAGCCCCTCTGCAGAAGGGGGCTTTGTTCCCCACAGATCACACTGAAGGGCTGTTGAGGTATTTTTTCCGCATGGTTCATAGATTTTATTGCAAGAGAATATACCTGTTCCTGTGTATTTCAACTGTGCTTAAGCTACAAAGGCAGCAAGGACCCCGGTGCTCTCTTTTTAAGCAACTGTCTCAACTAAGTCTCTGCTCGTGCCCGTATTTCTACTCCTTTTCTTTAACTGCGTAATGTGTAGTTAATGCAAGATTGGACTGTTTCCAAGGAGCGGTTGCGAGCAATTCACCCTCTAATCGCTCACCGCCTGGCAACTAGGGCTGCCTTCCAGGAGGTGTTGGTTGGGAGCCCCTCAGCTGGAGAACGACACTGAACCCTCACCTTCTGCCGCCTCCGTAAGCACCCCTTGGTGAGCATCTTGGTGTCAGCAAGTTGGATGACGGTGGAAGGGAGAACTAAGACTGCTTTTAAAGAAACCAGGGAGCTGGAAACTTCCTGTAAGGTGCTTGTGGACCCAGCTCAGTCTGGGGACGCAGGTGAGGTCAGGGCACTTTGGCGAGGGTGCCCATCCGAGTTGTGGGTCCCCGTGGCCATTGGGGTGGGGAAGGCTCATAGGTACTCAGCCCTCCGGGGTTGGAGGAGCTCTGAGAAAGTGCAAAAGCAAAGGTGTGGGTAGCCTGGAAGATGGAGACACAAGCTGCTTTGAGGTGGAACAGCTGGGGAGAAGCGCTTCCCACTGGGGAAGTCCTGCTCAGGTTTTTCAGTAATGCTGATGGTCCCAGAGCCTACCAGGAAACCTGTGGCAGAGCGCAGACTTCGGTTTGACTCTTGGACTCCCGGGCAGTGCGGTTCTCTCACCTTCAGCTCGAACTGTTAGCCAGATGTTCCTGAAAGGATAGTCTATATTTACTCAGTTTGTAAATTTTGTAACCTCATCTTCATCTAAGCTGGATGACTCAAACTTCTGGGGAAACCAGAAAAATAGGGAAGTATTAAGATACCTGGGGCTTTATGACCGACTGCCCTGCAGTTTGGGGGCACTTAACCCTCCTCGCATGGCCATGCATTTGCCCTTGTGAGTTGAGCACAGCCAGAAGTGCACGTGAGTTACCATAAACAAATGCATCTACAGTAGAGCAAGGATGATGTTGAAGTACCTGTGGGTGCAAACCCTTTCCTTTCCTTCAGAGCAGAGGGCCAAGGTAACAGTTCAATTAAAATGTAAGGAAAGTGTTCAGAGGAGTAAAAGAAACATTAATTAAATTAAATGTTAAAATACTCCCGACAGAATAATCGAACAGAGAGATTTTTGTCTGCAGCAACTGTGTTCTCAGCAGTCCTTGTCTGGCCTCGCCTTTACAAGAAGCCTGGGGCATTTCCTTATTATTTAAAGGAACAGGGTGAGTAGCGAAAGTGAAAATCGCTTTATCCCAGCCCTGATGCCGTGTCCTCACGCCCATGAACCCTGGCTGAGCCGGCTGTCGCTCCGCTGGAGCTCACGCCGCTTTTGAAAGCCGATGTCGCAGAAGCGCGGCGGGCAGGAGCGGCCGGGGGTGAGCCGGCCCCGAGTGGGCTTT